TTGGGCACCCAAAGTGAATCTACACCCTTAGCCTCGCCTTGTATAAGCTGATAAGAAGGAAGATCACTAACACAGTTTTTAATTTTCTTTCTTACTATATGATTGATGAAAGACATCCAGGTACGGTTGTCATTATCATCATCATCATCATCATCATCATCGTCATCATCATCATCATCATCATTATTATTATTATTATTATTATTTTAAATCCTTAAAGTCTTGCCGCTTTTAACTTATGGTGCCGAGTTCAATCCATGAGCCTAGGACAGTCATAAGTCTGCTGGATTACTTGATGGATAGAGTCCTCCTCAGTATGTGTGCAGTTCCAAGGAGGACGGTCTTCTGTAGCTCTGTTATTCTATTATTGCCTGGGATCTTGCCGATGTAGTTTTCTGTTCCCTTCTTGACAAGTCCGAAAGCTCCAATTATTATTATTATTGTTATTATTATTGTTATTATTATTGTTTATTATTATTATTATTGTTTATTATTATTATTATTGTTTATTATTATTGTTTATTGGGGGACTTCACAGTTCATTGGGCAAACGTATCCAAGAGTGAAATCATTAACACAATTTCTTTTCATAATTATCCGATAAGACGTTTGACAAGTTTTCGCATGTTTAAATTAAAACAAGTGCCCCAAACCTCGTTCAACGAAATTCTGCGATTAACAATTTTACCAACACTCTTCACGGTAAATGAGCAATAGAGTGTGTTCACGTGACGTCATCAAATTCTCAAATCCAAAACTAAAGAGCCACTAAAGGTTTTATCCTCATCAGGCATAAGAGGTACTAAATTTATATCTGTTTACAACTTTCCAGCTCAATAGCGTCCTTCGTTTGGAAACCAGCACATTTTGAATTTCGGAGTTGTGGCGGTGAGTTACATGAAGCTAAGATCGCGTTTGTCGAAAAATATACACTTATCTCGTGATTTTTAGCCTTTTTTGGAGTTAAAGTATAAGGAAAAGCGCTTGTGTGATTGTTTTTTGGTTCGGTTCAGATAATTAGTCAACTAGATAGCCAAAGTAAGTTTCAGATGGTTACACTATTTTCCGGCCGCCATATTGGAGGACTAAGAAGGTCCACCAATGAATATATCAACTTCGGGACAACGCACACACCTTAAACTTGGAGAACTGCCAGTGTCTTCTTTATTTACCGTCTGCATGGTTTTTGATTTTATTTTTTAATTGCGTGACAATGAACAAACTATAAAAACGTCAATTCCGTACGATTTGAACTCAAATTTACATAATAGATGGTTTTCACTGTCACGCAACGAAAAAATAAATCGAAAACTATTCAGTGGATAAAGTCAAGAAATTTTGATATTATAGGAGACAGGTAAAGGAGAAACTTCTCCAATTTTTGGGTCTCTGCGTTTTCCCAAACTTCAGATATTCGTCGAAATGTTTTGCGCAAATTTACAGAGCCCAGTATGGAGCCGCCATGTTGGTGGAGCTCTTTGCTCCACCAACATGGCGGCCGGAAAATAGTGCAAACATCTGGAACTTACTTTGGCTATCTAGGTGACTGATTATCTGAACTGAACCAACAAACATTTACACAAGCACTTTTCCTAGCACTTTAACTCCTAAAAAGGCTGAAAATCATTAGATAAGTATATATTTCTCCACAAACGCGATCGGAGTGGTATGTCACGCACCGACATAACTCTGAACTTCAAACGGCACTGGTTTCTAAACCAAGCACACTATTGAGCTTAAAAGTTATAAACAGATTTAAGTTTAGATCCCCTTATGCCTTATGAGGATAAAAATTTTCGTGGCTCTTTAGTTTTGGATTTTGATGACGTCACGTGAAAACGATCTATTCTTAGACTTGTGTATGCTTCTGAGAGTTTTGCGTCATTTCACCCAGTTTTCATCGTCGTTTCAACTTACTAAGTCCCACGACAAGTCCGTTTTTCATTTCTTTTTGCGCTTATTGTAAGGTTTATCACACCAAAATAGTAATTTTGAGCGCAGATAAAGAACAGTGAAACGCAGAGAAAGTTCTAACTAACGAGTGAATTATACTGACAAATTTGACAACAATAACTTTTGCCGGAATGGAGATGTAAATCGGCTCACTTTTGACCGAAAAATAATTTTAAATTACGGTAATGGTGTTCGGAATTGAACAAACCCAAAAGTTCGAAACTTTTTCAAATACTTGTTTGCTCAAAGGAATTTACAGGTCCTTCACAGTTCTACGGTTGATAATAAAACCAAAAACTAAATTGACTTCCGCCGCGTGTTTACAAGACTCGAAAAAGTTCTTGTTTCTGTAAATAACTTAATTTCAACATTCCCTCTTGCAGCTATCATTTCGAGTCAGTGGTAGCCGATTGATCGTCTTAAAACTACACTTCGGAAAATATTAGTGTGCTTTAATACGAAGATGTTTTCTCGACCGACTTCCGCACTGTTCCTCTGCGTTGTGATACTGACCGCCTTTTCTAACGGCAAGCCGCAAAATTCCAGCACCAAGCCTACCGTTAAAACTAACCCAGATCAGAGCCTTGTGGTGAACAACAACTGTGGTTTGGCGAAAAGCGAGAGTGAAATGCTGACTGATATCAAAGCTAAGGTTGATTCCATCGTTGTAAAGTCCAGCAAAGGTATTTTTCTGTTAAAAAAATTATTTTAAGTCACCGAAGTTCTCTTCTCATGGTTTGTTGTTGGTGTGTGCGACCTCATACGTTCGTTTCCATGAACTATAACTTTAGGGAAATAAAATTCTTCAACGTGCAGTTCTAAAAAATAAGACTGGTGAGGGTAAAAGATCTCTCGTCAAGGCTTGAAAAAGACCGAAATCTGACTTGTAAATCTTGTAAATAATCCACGCTAGTTTATCGTACCATAATAATTTCACAGACATGTCCAAATATATAACGAGCTAAACTGTAGTTGAAACTCTAACTCTAATAAATTCCCTATTACAAGAAGATCTTCCTGCTAATCTAAGGAACGAAAGATTTCCTTTTACAAGCGATTTGGCGGCAGGATTGCCCCATTTAAATAAGCCTTGTTTTAAATAGGCGAGGAATAATCTTTGACTTGTTGACTGCGTGACTTCCACTCATCACTCTGCGTATTTCAAACAGAACCGGTTTGTCCAGACGGTTGGGTACTTCATGTAAACTCGTGTTTCCTCGTCATCGACATCCCAACCCTGGAGTGGAGCGACGCTCGACGAAATTGCCAGAAGCTGGGAGGAGACCTCGCTAAAATCACATCAGCCTCTGAGAGTCAGTTCATCTTTGATCTCGTGATCAAGCAGAAGAAAATAACAGACCTTGGTGTATGGCTTGGACTTCACCGAAAGGCAGATAACAAGTTCTATTGGGCAGATGACACACTACTGGCGGGCTACAGTAACTGGCGAACACTGGCGAACCGAATACCCTAGCAGAGAAATGTGCGCACATGTATGGTAAAGGATCCGCCAAAGGCAAGTGGAATGACTGGACCTGCACCCACCTGAGCAAAAACAACCCCGTCGTTCTTTGCCAAAAAAGGGCTAAGCACTAGTATTTCGTTTTTGCAATGTCAAATGACGAAAACGTTCTGTGATGTTCTGATCTTTTGGTGTTGGTATTCCACTTATGTCACATGGAAAAATAAACATAGGGATTGCAAATGAAAACATGTTATCAATTGTTGACTGTGTTTGATGTCACTTTTACACTGTATGTATTCAGCAAGCCCTCTTACGCCCCGCCACTTGGGCATTTTGCTATATTTTAGTTTATTTAAAATAGTGATTTGTTACTGCAAACATGTTAACATGTTAACCCTTTTTAGAATCGCGGGACTAAAGATCAAAAGACAAGGCTATTTAGTTAAGGAAATAACCAAGCCAGGCGCAACATGTCATTCGCGTTAGGAAACACGGCTAATCTCCGCCGAGTTTTTGTACTGATTTTAGAACTAGATTCGCCCACCAACAAGCACTGACACGAGAACGTTTGTTAAACAATTACCAGCCTTTCTTTCTACATTTTCCATAAAGCAGTTTGGAACTGACCAATGAGAGAAAAACATACCCGAACACACGAAGAATGCCCTAGAGAGTGATGGCCAATCTAGATCTGACAACAAGAAATCCGATTTCACCTCACACCCCTCCAAAACACAGCAAGATTGATGTGAGGTGACCCCCCCCTTAAATATTAACCTACGTTCCTGAAAGTATCTTACCTCATCCGTGACCAATTCCAGCGCACTAATGTACCACTGTTCAATCTCGTGAGTGTAGATCAGATGTTTGTGTATGAGGGACAGGAAAAAGGCTTGGAGCGCTTCAAATATGACCTGTGTGAATTGAGCAATCTTAAATATTGTTAAGCTGCATTATTAACTAAAGCCGAAAGGTTTAAAACAGCTATTAAGGGGCCTAATAAACAGCAACTAGCTTAATTTAGTGTTAATGTTAGTTGAAGCAACACAATCTGCTTTCAGACCACATAATGGTTTTCAAAGTGGCGATAGTCACGAAAAGGAGAGCTATTATCCAAGGGAAAACGGCCCACACGAGTAATGCAAATTTCAAAGAAATGAAGGTTTTTTGTGTAGGTGACCGCTAGATATTTTGGTCCCTTTTCCTCTCTCCCCAGGCCTCCCCTGTATTCCGAATCAACGCCTCCAAGATGGCGCGCCTCCAATCCAAACGCGTTTGTCCGCAAAAAGTACGCCTGCACAGTCATCTTACCTTTCTGTTGTCTACTGTCATAATCAAGTTGACGTGAGGATTGGAAAACAATCTTTCAAAAGGAACTTCAATGCGCCTTTCTACAAGAAAAAAAGTGTTCAAATCGTAAATTTTTGTTACCTTGAGTGCAAAAGAAATTCAAGGTCGGAGACATTCAGACCAAAGTCCAAATTCCCTCACGAAGATATATAGAGAATAAATCACTGATTGTTGAAGTAAATCGAGATAAATATCCAGACTGTTACATAACGATATCAAAACAAAAAGGCGACCGTGCTGGACAATCATTAAATTGAAATTAAAGTTGTTGAACGTACTGTATTCTTAAGGCAACAAACAAAGAGCCTTAAATTCAGAGCAAATTGGATCTAAAATGACGTTAAATCCCATCGCCTAACAATTGTAACTCCCACAGTCCTTGTTTGAAGAAAATATGATTGGCTCTTTTTTGGAGTTTACAGTATGTTATTGCAGTGTCTTTAGCTACCTTTTAATTTAGTCCATAACTCGATGAGCTTGTCCAAGATGCCATAACTATTTTTTGCATAGTTTGTTTCAACAAACGTGACTCCATGTGCCGTTCTACACACTATGAAGGAGAGATCAAACAACCTGTCAGTGACTGTTATAGCTACGGTCTGCTATGATGGATCAAAACTACTTGTTATACCTCCCAACTAAAATACGTTTTCCGATTGGAGGAGAAAGTGTCACTTGTCATGGGTNCTACGGTCTGCTATGATGGATCAAAACTACTTGTTATACCTCCCAACTAAAATACGTTTTCCGATTGGAGGAGAAAGTGTCACTTGTCATGGGTCAAAACTCACCAACTCCCTAGAGCGAACAAAACTCACTAACTCTCTAGGGAAACAAAAACTTAAACTTTCAAATGTCATGATCAGGTCGTGCACCTTGAAACCGCGACAAATTTGTGTACCAGCCGGCGTAAAGCAAATCATTTTTTTCGCAGTTTTTTTTCGCAGAAACAAATCCCACTGTTTCCCTTAGGGCCAGTCATTAAGTGTCTATTCTGTATTTTCAGAATTCAGGGATCAACAAGGTACAGCATTTTAAGGGAGCTTACTTAAAATAAACACCAGCTCCACAGTTATTTGCCCGATCAAAGCCATCTCCTTTGCATAAGATTGTTCCTAAAAATGATGAAAATTCCAAAGTAAGAAACATGATATTTTCATGTAGCAAGGTAATTGAGCGGTCCTCTACAGTTTAAGCCCTTGCAATTGCTCTTGGGTAAGACACTTTACTTTCAGAGTGCCTCTCACCACCCAGGTGTATAAATGAGTATCACTGAATTGTCATGGCAACCTGACAGTGCTTGGGTTCATCTGGGATGACATAGCATCACATCCAGAGAATACGAGAAGATATGAATTTTATGCTCAAGTCACATGAAGACCATGAAGTTTCTTTTTTCATTTAGGTATTTTTGGCATTTTCGTGCTCCTAAGTGAACGATTTTATGTCGGCTTCAGTGAATTTTTTAAACTTCCGGATCGCTCGCCATCTTTCAACCGGCGTTTGGCAAAGTTTGGCAGCCGTGCAATGCGATGGCGCGAAATGACGTCATCGATATTATCACTAGCACTAGTGACGGAAAATACGCCACTAGGGTCCCGGATGTAAATTCGTATGAATTTTACGAGTAGTGAATTTTCCAGTAAAACACTCGTGACTATATGATAAACTACAGCTATATGCCGATCTGATGTGTATCCAAACATGAAACAGTGCGTTATCGTCTACAGTGGAAAATTTATTAGTCATTAGATCTTAGATAACTATAGCCGGTTAGCGTGATCGAATGAAAATCTTGCTGTTCTGTGCCTTAGATAACAACTCCGAAAAAATATCTCCAAACCTCGCTAATCAAAGAGCTTTCTAATGCACCAACAGCGGCGACTGCCTCAAACGTTATCTCTAGGGTAAAAAACATCAAAAGAAATCTCTAGTCAATAATATAATAATTCTTCAAGTTGAACCCATGTGGTGAT